TCAGCGTCTTCACCGAGTAAAACTATGTCGTCGGCGTATCCTAAGTCAACAAGTGTGCCTCCCGGTAAAAGTTCAACTCCTGGAGATTGAGATGATGAAAGTGTTATCTCTTAAAGCATGTCAAAGACAAAGTTAAACAAGAATGGGGAGAGTGGACAGCCCTGGCGAACACTACACGAGGTAACCAATTCTGATGACAGTTCGCCATAGGCTCTAACTTGATCAGGTGTGCTCGAGTAGAGAGCCTTTATGAGGTTAATGTACTTCTTTGGTACTCCTTTCAGTGACAAACATTGCCATAGAACCTCACGATCAACGGAGTCAAATGCCGCCTTAAGGTCAAGAAATACTACTATTGTGGGACGTCTGAATTTGTGTCTATGTTCTAGAACCTGACGTAGGGTGAATATCTGGTCTATGCAACCACGTCCAGGTCGAAAACCAGACTGGTTTTCTCTAGTCTGCTCTTCACGAGCTTTGGTTAGGCGTCCTAGTATTATTGAAGCTAATATTTTAGACACTATATTAGTCAAACTGATCCCTCTGTGATTGTCACAGGAGGACTTTTGTCCTTTCTTATAGACTGGCACAATCAGTGATTGGGACCAGTCAGATGGAATTACATCCAGTTCCCAGATTCTACCTAAGACCTCAGTCAATCTCACTGCTAGTACTGGACCACCATCCTTAAAAATCTCAGGGGTCAACCTGTCAGGGCCTGCTGCTCTCCCTCGCTTCAGATTTCCTATAGCTTTCTCAACCTCACAGAGGGTTGGAGGACTTACATCAATTTGCCATTCAGGACGACTGGGGATCGTGGGTAATTGAAGTGTGGCTGAAGGCCAGTTGAACTGATCCCTAAAGTGTTCTGCCCATCGATCCAACCTCCTGGATTGAGAATGAATAATATGCCCATCTTTATCTGAGATGGTTTCACTGATATTCGGGTTCCTAATACCGGTTTCTTTAACGAGTCTGAATAGCTGCCTACTGTTACCTATTGCCACTGCCTTTTCCATCTCTCTTGCTTTCGCTACCCACCACTGTTCACGATCATTACGTAGACTTCTTATAAGCCTGCGCTTAAGTTGACTCCGCTCTTCGTTATGCTCAGAGCCAGGTGGGATGAGTTTTCGAGCATCTATCAGTGCGGTAGATGCTGCCGAGATCCATTGTTTCTCCCTAACGTTATGGTTTACCTTATTAGCGGATATCACTGCTGTTTCCACAGCTTTTCGGATGTCATTCCACGCTGCCTCGGGGTGGACACAACTTACATGGCTGCCTAACAGTTTTTTTAGTTGTTCCTGAAATATATTCTTAGCTTGCCTATCATTAAGTAGAACCCTTAGAGGCTTCCCTGCAGTGTCTTTCCTACGACCAGTAAGACGCAGACAGATACGTGCTCGCACTAGAGCATGATCTGAATATAAGCATGTGCCCCAGAATGAGCGACAGTCTTCTATCGAGCCCCTCCATCGGTGGCTGATAGCGATGTGATCTAGTTGGGTCCAACGTTGGGACGAATTCGGGGGTCGCCATGTCAAAAGATGTTTTTCCTTATGCTTAAAGTTAGTATTTGCAAGAAATAGACGGTTATCTGAGCACAGCTGCAACAGACGGTCGCCATTATCTGTTCTTTTCGCCACGACACCATAAGATCAACCCAGGTGTCTTTCACTTAGTTTACCTACTTGAGCATTAAAGTCACCAGCCACTATTACTACATCAGAACGCCTAGCTTTTCGGAGAAGGTCAGAAAGTTTCCTGTAAAACTCATCTTTTATGTCGTTTGAGCTGCAGTCAGTGGGAGAGTAGGCAGAGACGACGAAGAGGCAACGACGAGTTTCCCTATCTTTCCGAGTCCTTACTGATCCGTTTAGTCGGACAGCGCATAGACGACTGTCTACTGGGATCCAGTCTAAAAGAGCTAGTTCTGCTCTAGGACTTAATGCTATACCTACTCCAGCGAGGCCACGGGAAACAGCATCAGGGCTTCCAGATACACGAAGCGTGTATCGAGATGGTTCTTTATTTTGATTAGGTGAGGTCAAATGAATGGCACTACTCGGATCTTGTATGCGCGTTTCGGAGACGCAGCACACATCGATGGTGTAAGATTCTAGAGTCCTAGCTAAGGAAGCCTGTTGTCCTATTTGGCACAATGTTCGGACATTAAAAGTTCCTATATGTAGTTTAGAGCGTGGTTTCAGGAGACCAGGAATAACGTTTCGTGTACTTGAATCGTTTGCCCTAGCGGTGCGAGGTGATAAAAGGACGTGGGAAAGGTTAGTCGTGAAGATAAGAGAGTTGTTAGGAGGTGTAGGAAGGATTTGAAAGTGACCAACTTGGTCTCGTGTGCTGTTACGGGTATGGGGGGTAATATCACTTCCCGGCTGCCCACACCGTGGAAGGGTATTTCTTGAGGGACCTGAAAAAGAAGTTGGATTAGTGTTGGTCTTAACGACCTGGGATCGTGACCGCAGTGCCTAAGGGATAACTGCTTGAGGCCGGTCACGCACGGCCTTTTTGTGGGGGATTTTTAACATGTTAGCTCCGTTCTTCAAAGAACCTTATGGCCGGAGACGGAAATCCGTGGGATAAGGCGAGGTGTGCATTTTTAGGGTCGACCTTTTCTAATCCCACTCCTCCTTGTTGGAAGGCAGCATCGCTGTCATGCTGGTTGTCTGAAGGAAACATCTTACTGCTGTCACACCTCTGTACAGTCGGCAGTACGACTTCGCCTTCGGACCTTGGGATTGCTGCTTTTAGTCTCACCGCTCTTCAACCGACCTGTCTGGCATGGTAGGACCTCGAGGAACGACTGTTCCAGCCAGCATAGCTCGATTGCTTCATCACGATAGGCAAGCCCGACCACCACGTCAAGGTAGCAGCAACGGTCGGGATATCTGTTCATAAGTAGCTTCATAAAACGATGAAGCTACTTATGAACAGATACTTTACCGGTGGCGGGTAAAGCACTTATCTTTCAGCTATTGCGCTGAAGATTGAATCGGCAACGCAGAGCCTGATACATATGCGCCACCTCAAACTGTCACATCTCATTAGTGAAGTGAGGAAAAACAATCAAGACAAATCCTAAATAAATAGAAGTAGAAAGAGTATCAGTAAGAGCAAAAATGATAAGGTGTAGTATAAGAGGAAAATGTACAAGATTCGTTCTAGATTATTGTTCATTAGACAGCATCGTTCACTGAGATAGGCGATGGTCAGGCACAAGCAATATATGCCCCCAAACACTCCAGTCAACGAAAATTTACAACCTTATCGACCGACTTAACTTCTTTACCAAGTACCCAAGGCCTAACTTCAGTGTCGCTCACTCGAAGGACCCAAAATACAACAGCGATGCTGGTATACATCTATAACTGAATAATAACAACTTACGAATATCTATCTCCAACAGGCATGCGTCACACTCATCAAATAGGAAGGAGTGAACTGATATCCAGTAAACTCCGTTGTTTGGCGGAAGGATATCTAGCCTACACCATGAATGACCGAAGTTGGTAAATGTCGACCGGGCTCAATCGACGACAAGATTTAGTCATATACCAGCTCATCAGGGCTGATGAGAATGCTGAGATGAGTAAAATGATTGGAGCACTCAACCACTCTACAATTATCAATTTAGGCGTCGGTGCAGGACAGTTCTGAAGCAACATTTTACAATAAGAGGGAGAAATGCATTCGAACCACGCTTGCATTGTTGTTTTACGCAGCCAGAAGACCGCTTTTTTTTCAGAGTCTCCACCAAACAGAACCACGTCATCTGCGTATTTTAAGTCTAGTAGAGTCTCTTGGTAAGAGATCAACCTTTGGAAGTCAGATGATGAGAGCGTCTTTTCGAAAAAAATGCTTATGACGAAGTTGAACAAAATTAGAGAAAGTGGACAGTCCTGACGAATGCGACCTGAGGTTGAAAATTCTGAAAAAGATCACTATGAGCTCTGGATTCGTCAGTAGCGTTCAAGCAGAGAGCTTGTACAAGGTTGATGTATTTCGGTATCCCTTTTCTAATGACAGATTTAGTCAACAGTTGAATGTTGTCTTAAGATTACGCAATACAATTATAGTCGAGAGCCAAAAAGTATGCCAATGCTCTAAAAATGAAGAGTGGATATCTGGTTCATACGTCCACGAACAGTTCTGAAACCAGCCTGGTGGCCCTGAGTTTACTCTTCACAAACTCTAGATAAGCGTTGGGTTATCAGAGGCCATTATTTTAGACACTATCGCTGATGCTTCCATTTCTTTTCCTTTTAATAACTACTACTGCTCACGATCATTACCTAGGATTTCAGAATATATTAAAATCCTACAGCACACACTTCAAGTCGTTGCATCAGCCTATGGAACCTATGAGTGCTGGTTTCAGGCTTGCTTGTAGACGTAGACATCTTGATTAGCTTTGGTGAAACTAAGACCCGTATTTTCAGACTAGTGATACTGACGGGTTACCATAATGGAAGCACAAGGACTAACGACTGAAACCAAGAACCGTTAAAGGGTAAAAATACATGCGTAAACTAATGACTGCACTAAGGACAAGATCATTCTTAATATATTCAGATACAATATTGTATATTCACGGGAAATATGACCTGTGAATAAAACAACAATAAACAAAAAACTTCTCTTTAATCAACATGACTTAACCAGGACTCCAACAGTACTGTGGCATCAGAAGTATGTGAACGTGAATGGCTTAAGAAGTGAAAACGAAGACGCTTTTACAATTTTCAAGACGCTATTTGACAAAGTAAGTCTTGGAGTAACAAGACAAAAATGTACCAGCACAGAAAACGATACATGACAGTTAACTGGGATGAATTCATTACAAACTGTAAAATTGAACTGCTTTAATTACATTAAACTGTACCAATTAGTCTGTATAAATATCTACCATCAAAAAACCATAAGGAATTTTGATTTGAATGCAAACTGACCTTGAAATAAATAAGCGTGACTTAATAAAACAAAAACAAACTTCGTCGAACAGTGAACTAAATTCAATAAAATTAATTCTAATTCGTTTCTTGCTGTAAGGTATCTTTTTAACATCTACATAATAAGAGATGATCATCGCACAAATATGAATGGTCTCACTGCAGATGGATAATGCTATACGATAAGGAAATAAGTCGAGATATTCGAAATTTTCAAAAGTTATGTAAAGAAAAGCGACAGAATTTGCTACAAGATTATAAGAATGAAGAAAAAGTAATTTGATCCCTTTTTTGTTACACTCTATTCAGGATTTAAATGAAAACTTTCAAAAGAATTACAGAGAATTGGTTAAATCTCATAAGAAACATTTAAGTGATCTTCAGTCGAAAACTGATAAAAGTAAACGAAAATTCAGAAGGCACCTAGAATGTGAACTGGTAAGTCAACTAAGAATTCTTCCTTCAAGTTCGTTGATTTTCTTTTATGGTGTATAATTCATGAGATTTTATTGACTGTTCTCATACAATTATGTCCATTAAAATGTTTTATTAATGAAACACAAGACAATTTTCTTCGAATTTATCTTTCTAACATCTCTGAATCCATGAGGTCATCATTAAGGTCATCTTCATTCTAGATAATTCGGATTGAATATACCTTACATTTAAGTTGTAGAAAGGTTCACAGATTCTGTATAACAAATACCCTTGAAATACTAAAGGCATCTCATTATCTATGAAAGACGGTCTTGTAAATTATGTTCGGTAATCAAAATACATTATTCCCATTTTCAAACACCATACAAATATTTCGTTATATATGTTCGTGTACGGAGCTGTAACCATAGCAAATGGTATTTTTTATAACTTATTTAAAAGTTACATTTCATCACAAAACCTATTATGATTTCATCTGAATCATTAGGAAATTATTCTTCTGAAAGTTGTTAAGATCATCAACACTATTGAAAGCTTTCTGATATATTCAAATTGTGTTTTAACATTGAATTAGAATAGAGTGATAAGTTTTTAAAACTTTTAAATTATTGTTGGCTTTTTTCGTTCATAGACTTACTTTCTAATATTAAGTTGTAACTGTAGAACAATGAACTATTCTCCTTTATTTTTTTTAATTTTTCGAATTATCACTTTCAGGGAACACCAAAAAGTGTATATAAATGTTCAACAACAGGTGACAAACACTTCTGTTCATTCTAATGTATTTGTCATTCAACTATATGATTAAAATACTAATGTATAGCACTAGAGAATCTATAAATCTTTATTCCTTCATTAATGGGAAATTAATGTTTACAGACAGTAGTACCTCATTCATAGTTAAGTGACTTATTTTTTATAGATAAGTTGTATTACCGTAGATAATTAGAGCTGTATAAAAATGTCATGAATTAAGGGTTAGGTTAAAAGTTTACCCATGTTAAGCGTGATGTATTTATCCACTACCGTCAAAGGAAGACTGTTGTACAGTTTTGCTGTTCTATTGAACTTAAATAACCACACCATTGGTTCCGAGCTCAGTGGCCTAGAAGTTAAACACTTAGTGGTATGTTTTCGGATATACACTACCAAGAAGCTCTTGTTCAAGACGAGATAAGTGTCCAGTCCATTCCTCATTTTTATTGATTATCTAATTAATATCAGTCCGTGATGTAATCTACGATAATTATATAATCACCAAAATTCTCTCTTGTACTATTAAGCTTTTATGAATCTTAGAATGTGTTCCGTTATAGACAGTGTTAAATTCTATTTCTCACAGAATAGTCTAATATCTCTTAACAACCAGATGATCATTTCCAAGTGAGTAGATTAAGAGATCAAAGCCAAATAAAGTCAATTCATTATCAGCCGATAAACAAAATAAACCAATACCCATTCTCAACATTATTGTCCAGTAATCACATTTGTATAAAGTAGAGCATTTAAGTAGTATGACTAATCTCAACAGTTTTTTTTTTAAAGAAACAATTATAAAATAATATTAACAAAGAAAGAAGGGAAATACAGGTGTCTAGTTTACATATTATAAACCAATATATTTGGCAGTTGTCCAAGTTGAACTTCTAGTCAACAGTCTCAAGACTAAACGTTACACAGGCTTCATTCTATGTAAACTTATAAATATTCATTATGACTGAAGTTCAAGTAAAATTTGAAATAACTATGTAATGATCACTGATTTTTATTAACTAGCAAACGGATTTTATTCTCTGTTGGCTCAATGGTCTAGAGGTTAAGTGTTTTCGGACGAAACGCAAAGTTCTGCTTCCAGAGTAGTACCTGCTCACTTCTGAGAAGTCCCGTACTAGGACGAAACGGTCGTCCAGTGCTTTATGATTTCAATGAAACTCAACAGTATTCATAATACTTTACTGACAAAAGTAAAATATGTACAAGGAAATCCAAGAGTATAATGAATTCGAACAACTGTGTATGATGTTTAAAGTTATGATGAGAATGGGGTTTGTGGAGATTGTAGTCATTTTAATAGTTGAATTCATGAGTCGATGTAAGATAGACCATCATTTAAAACCTAAAAGCACTGGACGACCGTTTCGTCCTAGAATAGGACTCTTCAGAAGTGAGCATTTAAAATTCACTAAGTAGAAATCTTCTATACCCAAGTCAAATAAAAAACAAACTGGTATAACTAAGAATCATTCTAAGTTAAAAGCTATAACACTTATGTTTGATTGGAAAGATTGTTTTCAGCAATTTCATCATTAGACTCCACATTTATAAACCAATGGTTTTGGCATTAAAATGCTTAAAACTGGGGATACATCTCAAATGTTTCATGAATAAAGAAGGCAAAAAAAAATCACTTGTTGTTAAGTATCAAATTACAATCAATATTATGGTATCATTGATGTGAATAACGTGAAAATTTGGAGAAATGTTGTATCAGTTTAAATGAGACAAATTAAGTGAATATAATCTGTAATGAATACAACCTCTAAATTGGATCGATCTCTACAAAACCCCTTTTTATTATAATTATGATAGTCAGTTCTTTAATGATCTACTTCAAGATTTCTTGAATTCCTAGAGAGAATTCATGACTGATAGCTTAATAACTTATCAAATATCTGAGCATGAGCCATACTCAATTTGTGAGTGCTATTGTAATAACTGGTTATCCAAACCAAAGTAGATGAAGAATGACTTGAATATGGAACTCAGTGTTTGAAAATCAAACGCTTTGACCAGTTAACCACCTCTCCAAATCTTAACTAGTACAGTTCAAACATTTGGCATTGCAACACTTGACTGTAACGTTGTTGAACGGTAGTCGCATTGTGTCCCAATTCAACTGAATTTAAAATCCTACTTTTGGGTGTCAACTCAGTGATTTGAATGATTCAGCACTCATTATGAAACCCGAAGATTATGGGTTCAACCTGTGGTAGAGTCTTGGGTGAATGACGCTTAGGAATCGCATACTAAAGCGAAACAACTGTTCCGCCCTCCTAATTTTGAATGTCATCACAACGAAATTAATTTGTGACGAATACAATTTATAAAATAAATAAATCACTACCATACTCTTTCGGCTAAAACTATGGCAACAGGAATGTTGCTTATAATAACGATAAGAAATCCATGTAAATTGAGAAGTTTAGGCGATAACTAGAGAGAGATAATCCCAAAAGTAAATTGAAGGGTGATAAGAGTTTATTATATGTGGCTTATACATGAAGCATAGATTTATATTGAAATAACATAGCCTTAGAAAATAATACTTTTTAGAATGGTACCAGTAAATTTGCTAGTAGGGTGGGGCAAATTGGATTCATTTCACACCATAGCTACCTTGTGTGTTGTTGTTATTGTTCTTACATTACAAACGTTTTTCAACAGAGATAATTCATAATAATTGCAGAAATAATGATGATGTAACCATAATTAACAGTCATATGGTACTGCTGATAGCAGTACAGTAGTAACAATGATAATGATTCAAGGTGAAAGCTAATGTGACAGGAGGGCAACTGTCCTATGAATATGTGATAATAAAAATGAACAATAAAGATTGTTCACTGAGCAATCTTCCCATTGATGTTTTAGGACTGCTACTGGTCAGTCTCTAATTGACATATGTGCATACTGTGCGTATTGCCTCGATATAGTCTTAATTCACAATCATGGTAAGCAAAGATGGATAGTGGCTAGTAGTGGAATCCAGTTTCACACGCGTTTCGTCCTATTTGGGACTCGTCAGCTGGATGTACCTGTATCTCAGGGTTGATGTTCACTCTGGGACTCTAACCCAGTACATTTCGCTTCAAACGTCATCGCGTTATCCATTCAGCTACTGAGTTCTGATAGCCACTTGCTTGTGCAACGGGGTGAAGTTTAAATTCACTTGGCATTATTTGTTTAAATAATAATAAAGATTGTTATCGTGATGAAATTTCTAGATATGGGAAATGTATGAATAGTACTTGTAAGGATTAACACGAACAACTGAAACGTTATCAAGTTAAACAGGAATATTCAGTCAAAAAAGACACTCACCAATGAATCACTTGTGGTTAAACTAATGGAACCTTGATGCCTCTTTAAAACCTAATAGTTACCTTATTTTGTGCTAATTGGTTGATATAAATGTAATTGAACCTAATACATTACTAAACTAAATAATATAACGGCTTATAACACTGTTAAACTCTTCAGGTATATCCAGCATCTGATTTCAGTCAGACATTCAGTCAGCTACAACGTAGGATCAGGCACATATATGCATCGGTTCTTAGGTATAACTCTCTTTTACTCTTCCAAAGTATATAATATCAGACAACTTGGTATATAGGTAAATACAGCTGAAGATACCCATTTTAATTTTGAGCAAGTTTCCAGTTCAATCTATCAGAAGTGAAAAGTTTGGGATTACTGAATTTCTACCAACAATTAGGTACTTACATCTGTTACTCCTTGTGGAGGAGCATTGGCCACCTACTAGCATCGTTCATCCAATTTTATCAACAATTACTGTCTGAAATCATAAGAAACCTATTCAGTTAAAGGGTAGTGACTGATTATGACGTTTCATTTTAAACTGAAGGTGTATGATAAAGAACTTTACCGGATGATTGCTGCTATTCCAAATACAAGCTCAACTCGGAGATTCCATTAATGTGAAAGCTTCCTGCGGAAGTCTCAATCTTCACCTAATACATATGTAATATATTTTTGTATTTTAAATGATTTCAACATTGAACTACACAATACCACCGTTAATACTTTTATTGAACTTCGCAGATGACCTAGCCCTCCTCTCTCATACACACGAACAAATACAGATGAAGACAGCAAATGTAGCAGCAGCCTCCGCATCGATAGGCCTCCACATTCACAAAGGAAAAAGCAAGATTCTCAAATACAACACGGAGAACACCAACCCAATCACACTTGATGGCGAAACTCTAGAAGAGGTGGAAACATTCACGTACCTGGGAAGCATCGTTGATAGACAAGGAGGATCGGATGCAGATGTAAAGGCGAGGATTGGCAAAGCAAGGGCAGCATTTCTACAATTGAAGAACATATGGAACTCAAAACAACCGTCAACTAGTCTCAAGGTGAGAATCTTCAATACGAACATCAAGACAGTCCTACTGTACGGAGCTGAAACGTGGAGAACTACTACATCCATCGTCAAGAAGGTACAAGTATTCATAAACAGTTGTTTACGCAAAATACTCAACATCCATTGGCCGGATACTATCAGCAACAGCGTTTTATGGGAGAGGACAAACCAGCTTCCAGATGAAGAGGAAATTACGAAAAGACGTTGGAAGTGAATAGGACATACATTAAGGAAATCACCAATGTGCATCACGACTCAATCCCTAACTTGGAATCCGGAAGGGAAGCGGAAAAGAGGAAGGCCAAAGAACACATTGCGTCGGGAAATAGAAGCAGATATGAAAAGGATGAATGTTAACTGGAAAGAACTGTAAAGGAAGGCTCAGGACAGAGTTGTATGGAGAATGCTGGTGAGCGGCCTATGCTCCTCGACAAGAGGTAACAGACGTAAGTAACTTTTATTGAACTAAATATTCAAAATTAAACAAACTACTGAATTCCTTAATAACTTTTCTTTTTCTAGCGTTCCGAAAAGAAGAATTTAAAGAAGTTCTATGGTCAAAAATCGCAAAGTATCAGCCATCTTACAATTTTAAATGATTTACCATTATCATCAATCTCATTGAATAATTTACAAACATTACAGTATAATACTAATACTACTACTAATACTACTAATAATAATACTACTGATAATCATTCATTAATCGTTGATCATTCAAATATTTCATCACAATTACCACCGGAAACATCATCAATGTCCCACTCCTTTAATCATTTAAACAAATATGAAACACGCAACAATAACCGACCTATTGGTTTAAATAAACAATTAAGTAGAAGTGATTATATGCTTCATTCAAACAAGGGTCTCTATAGTATTAAACATTTGAATAATGATATAGAAGAACGTTTTTATCATTGTTTAATGAATCATAAGAATAGAATAGCTGAATTAGAATGGAAATGTTTACTTGAAAGACAAGAATTAAGAAGAGGTAGGTTATGGAATAGCATACTTCTTTATATTTGATATTTTATAAGATCATTTGATTGATGGATTGTAGTCATGAATGGGATGCAGGATGAGATGTTTCGTCTTCTTTTCAACTCGTCAGTTGAATGAGTGCATCTGAGTGACAACAAGATAATTGAAACTTACTAATAATTATATGTTTTATTAATAACTTGGATGGATACAGAAACTGTAGTAGCCCTTTTTTGGTTCTTCTGGTTAGTGTTTTTTTAGAGTTAGTTTTCTATGGGATAGGGCCCCCAAATGCCCTAGTACGACTGAGAGCGGGGAGAGTCTGCTCTACGTCTCGAAATGCTCTCACATGGTCACGCGTGTATAGCCTTTGTCAGGGAAATCCTACTCACTGCCTTCTCGTGGCATTATTGTTGTTTACGAAACTGAGAAGACAAAAAGCGAACGTCCGCCATTTAACTAGGTTGGTGGACACGGAAAGTCCACCTAGGGGAGTTGGAAAACTGTGATCCCAAACCAATGGTGCACATTGGTTCCAGTATCCTGAAGGAACAAATGGCGTATGAATCAATCGTTGGTCACCGGCTACCAACGGGACTGCATCTCCTTACGATGCTTCACTGCTTTGTGGATCAGATCTCTAGGTCAAAGGCTCCGAATGTGGCCCTCTAAGAAAACCTTGCTGCTTCAGTTTGGGCACATGGTCAGTGTCACAGCCCTCACACGAATCAAATGAGATTTGTGCGGCGCATAAATATCTGGTGCCCTTTTGTACCAATATTTATGTTTAAATAAATAAAAAACGGGATTGAGTTGCTAACCACACACTCAACCCTCCTCCTTTATCCAGACTTGAGACCGGTAGTAATACCCCGGAGGGGCTACAGGCGGAGTCAGAAACTGTATTAAGCTATTCATAAATAATTAATGCCTAGATATTCTGATTAGAGTATCAAAATGTATTTATTCATTTCCTTATGCATTCATTATTATTACAATTTATCAACTAAATGAATGAACCTTTGAATATTTTGTCATTATATGATTAAGAAGTTTCGTGATATGAAGGACTCCTTGAATATCTGAGTTACTTGTCCCTGCCATCTTGATATCTCAATAAGTAATCTGTTTTCTTGTTTGCTTTACTACATCATTAGGCCTACTAGTCTCATAAACTACTCAGGTGTGTTTGTGAAAAGGTTACAAGATTTTTATGGACGAAAGAGCCCAATCAGAGACATCGTGGTTGCTAGGACTGTGCATCGACATGAATATACATTATTCAGATTTCCATTGATTGAACTACTAACTTCTAACTGGCGAACACTCAATATTTATTGGAAGGATCAATCAAGAAATAAGCTAAAGAAACTTCCTTGAATTACCATACTGTACTAAGAATATATTACTGAATGAAGCCATTAATAATAATTATTATTATCTTTGTTTTGTTAATGGTCTCATATTTCTGTATAAATAGGTTATTGTGTTTAAATCCCAATATTACTATTATTAGACCTTAATAAAATGGTTGCTCAACTTCGTGGATTGGTTGAAGTTAGACATTAACACCATCGGATGGCGGCCGATTCAGTGGTCTAGTGGTTAGGCGTTCGCGCGCGAAACTGATAGGTCCTGGGTTCGAACCCCGCGAGGCGAGATCGTGAATGCGCACTGCTGAGAAGTTTCGCTAAAGTGCGAAACGTCCGCTTAGGTTTTCCATGGTGGTCTAGCCTCAATTGACTCATGATTTCAACCTTAATAGATATGTTAATTCATGGAACTATCAATGTCAACATTTAAAAACTATTAAAGACTTCAAAACTAGAGGGGAGTAGCAATTTATTGTTACTGTTAATATTAAGATTACTTATCCCATAGTAGAGGAGATATTTTAATAAACAAGGTTGTACAGAACATGCAACTACTTTTTGTATACACTTTATTACAAAATCAAATGTACGTTATTATGTTTTATTAATTGTAACCTAGTTACCAAGTACATTCTTGTAGAAGAGGGTCTGAGTCTGTAACCTACTGATTTAAAGTCAAATGATTTTAATCATTAGATGACCTATTAGATATCCTTTTTGGAACCCTTAAAATATATTCTAAATAGTGAAGCTAGTTACTGAAATTTCTACAAACTTAAATGGATAGTTTCTAGCAGTGGAATCCAGTTTGACGCACGTTTCGTCCTATTTGGGACTCGTCAGCTGGATGTACCTGCATCTCAGAGTTGATGTTCACTCTGGGACTCTAACCCAGTACCTTTCGCTTCAAACGCCATTGCGTCCTGATAGCCACTTGCTTGTTCAATGTGGTGAAGTTTAAATTCATTTAGTATTGTTTGTTTGAATCTTCCCATCGATGTGTTCAAACAATCAATACTAAATGAATTTATTGTATAAATGTTTCCAATATCCAGCAGCATAATGGAATGGTAAGGTTTGATTCTATGTCAACTACGCGTTTTATAGTCTCTGAATTTGAAGGACTTCTTTACATCGGATTTGTAATAACGCTCATACTAATAATGGGAAATGAAGCAGATGGTTGCCTTAGTTACCTTGAGATTCTCATTAGTAATAGTTAGTTGGTGCCAGATGAAATCTTTCTACGGATCCAGAATTTTTTTACTAACTTGACTCGCTTGTCACTCAGACAAAATGTTGATCTGCCAACCAAACGGGTTGTATACTACGTAACGGTAAGTTCTCTGTTACGCTATCCATATCAACATGTCTTAGTATGCAAGTACTTGTTCGGAGTTGCTCATATGTTATAGACCAGTCAAGTGAGCAATACTAAGATTAAACGTAGATTACTTTACAAATATTGCAGATTGTTTGATAAGATAATGTAAATTTATTTACAGAAATGATTAAAATATGTATTTGTATGTCTAATTATCGGGTACCTCAATTCGCTACGTTAGTGTCACCCCATGAAATTACCAAATTTCGGTCTGAGCCATATTAGCAGATATAAACTACCTGGTTAGTGTTCGGTTGATACCTACTATTATGGTGTGGGTTGCTTATATCCACATTAGCAGTATATGAAAATGGACAGGCACAGAATGTATTTCAGTAGAAGGTCGATAGGGAAAGAACGGGAACAGAACGCAATTGATATGAAAATGCATGAACAGTGAAATCAAAGACAATGGACTGATATTTGCAGAAGAAACAGTCAAGATTGAAACAATTGATTGATAGTTTGCAAATTAACCGTTTACTGTATCCTTTTTTCGTAGTTGAAAGCGTGAGTCAATTGAAACTAGACCACCATGGAAAACCTGGAAGCACTGGACGGCCGTTTCGTCCTATTGCAGGACTCCTCAGCAGTGCGCATCCACGAACCTGCACCCGCGACATTGGAACCAAGGACCTACCAGTCTCCAGCCAGAGCCAAGACAATTGGTGAAGGGTTGCTCAACTTTGTGGATCAGTTGAAGTTAGACGTTAAAACCGTTGGATGCCGGCCCAATGGTCTATCGGTTAAGGGCTCTGCCTCGAGACTGATAGGTCCTGGGTTCCAATATCGCGGGTGCGGGTTCGTGGATGCGCACTGCTGAGGAGTCCTGCAATAGGACGAAACGGCCGTCCAGTGCTTCCAGGTTTTCCATGGTGGCCTAGCTTCAATTGACTCACGCTTTCAACTATGAAAAATCTCCACAAAACCCCTTATGATGTTTACTGTATCGTTATCAGATGTTAGTGAGATATTCTATAATTTTGTGCTCAAAGACATTCGATTGTCCGCCACTCATGTTCTTATTCACTACACTATCAATTATTAGATGCATCAGTTTACATAACTCAGATTACGTCATAATGTCATAGATGTAATCACTCCATCTTTCTCATATCTTTCGTTTCACCCCCCCCATATACACATATCTTTTCATTCCTCCTTCTTCAATTTTATTCTCAATGTTTAGTCTTTACAATTAACTTAAATCATATGGATATCAATGTCCACATTCAAAGTCTTACTCTACAATCTCGCTATTCAACTATTAAGATCTTTAAAAAACATACAAAGAAAAACTAGATCCTACTTTGATCCTACTTTAATAAACATTGGACTTTAATATTTTAGTATATTCAATGAACTAGTTACATAATCTGTGTCATTTATATAGAACACTTGATAAATAAATGGAGTATGATTTTTGTGATCGGAATCAGAAAGATAGAGAGACATAGAAAAAAAACCAAAAAATATTTTTTTTTGTTATTTTATAAGTTTCAGTAACAGTTTACACCTTTATGGATAAAAAAAAATTGATAATCAAAAATGTGTTGGTCTTTTTTTCGATCATGGAATATGCTAATCATGTTTGTTTATCTATTTATATGTGCATGCGTGTGTGTGTGTGTGTGTGCTTCAAGATGGTAATATGTAGGCATCTTATATTTTCATAAGTTTTTTCTGTCGTCACGGTTAGCTAACTCACACACACACACACAATAATTTGTCATAAAATTTACATGTATATCCAAGGTGTTATGAATGTGTATAGGGGGGTGTTTATATGTTTGAAGGTGGTAATATGTAGTCATCTTATATTTTCATAAGTTTTTTCTGCCGTCACGGTTAGCTAAACCTCATACAAACATTTATCATGAAATCTACATGTATATCGGAGGAGTTATATATGTGTGCGCGTGTAAGTGTAGGGGGGGGGTGTTTAATATGTTTGAAGGTGGTAATATCATGGCATCTTATATTTTCATAAGTATTTTATGTCGTCATGGTTAGTTAACACACACACATTTGTCATGTAATCTACATGTATACCATGGTGTAATGTATGTGTAAACATGAATACGTGCGTGCGTGTGTGCGTTTGGGGGGGGAGGGGGGTGTTTGAAAGTGGTAATATCTTGGCATCTTATATATTTTCATAAGTATTTTCTGTTGTCACGGTTATCTAACTCACACACACACACACACACCAACATTAGCCATGAAAATCTCTCTCTATATATATGTATCTAA